TGTATGTATGTATGTATGTATGTATTGTATGTATGTATGTTTGTTCGTATGTAATGTATGTATATTAAAAGCAAAACATGATGAGTGACACTGAACCGTCAAACATCAAGTAACAAATGGATTAACACTTTGATTTGTCGTTAATTGCACATGTCGGCATTCAGTTGGATATTTTCAAGCACACAGACACGCAGGAACCGCTGCAACAAGCACGAAATGTGGTTAGTTGCGAAAAACAGTTCCCTGCTGTCGCCTGATCTGACGCTGATCATTTTACATATTGCCTTAAGAAATTTAAGGGTGTTGGGGTCCATCGGGCCGAGAACCTCGATACATATTGGCAAGAATTCCATCGAGGGAAGGGCGTTCCCATATTTTTTCATTTTCTCGTCCGCTGCCCTGGCTGCGGCCAAACGGCATTCTTTACTTGTCAGGTTTACATATCGTTCGGCAAGGGTGCCAGGGACCGTAACATCCCACGCCAAACATCTACGGCTCTCCAAGGTATTAGTGTGCATCCGTCCGGGCGCCTACAATCACGCGCAGAAATGCCGGATGGTTCCTTGAGAACTGGGATTGAAGCCTTGGAGAAGAGCCGACAAATGTAGTCGTTTAATGCTGAGTGACGTAGTTGACGGCCCCCAGCCAGGCGACAAACCAAACCGTGATGCCCAAACTCGTCCGCCCCAGCGCCACATCGGCACGTGTATTTATTTTGAATGACCAGGCCAAGTCTGAAGCCAATGGCGAATCTCACAGACGCGTCGTCAAGCCTGGTGCCCACAGAGGTGTTGGGCCACGATCTCAACCACCCACAGCTGGCAACGCTGGACATGGCTAAAAAACGAGCGGTGGAAAAGTCTTTGCCGCATTAAGACAACAAATTTTGAAAAATCTTTTTATATTCTTCGTTCAAAATTTGGACGTGCGTACGGTCCCCGGGGCAGACACTGGAATATAGACACATATGTATGTATGTATGTATGTATGTATGTATGTATGTATGTATGTATGTATGTATGTATGTATGTATGTATGTATGTATGTAAGTATGTATGTATGTATGTATGTATGTATGTATGTATGTATGTATGTATGTATGTATGTATGTATGTATGTATGTATGTATGTATGTATGTATGTATGTATGTATGTATGTATGTATGTATGTATGTATGTATGTATGTATGTATGTATGTATGTATGTATGTATGTATGTTAAAACCAAAACATGATGAGTGACACTGAACCGTCAAACATCAAGTAACAAATGGATTAACACTTTGATTTGTCGTTAATTGCACATGTCGGCATTCAGTTGGATATTTTCAAGCACACAGACACGCAGGAACCGCTGCAACAAGCGGTTCCTGCAACAAGCACGAAATGTCGTTGGTTGCAAAAAACAGTTCCCTGCTGTCACCTGATCTGACACTGATCCTTTTGCCTATTTCCTTAAGAAATTTAAGGGTGTTGGGGTCCATCGGGCCGAGAACCTCGATGCATATTGGCAAGAATTCCATCGAGGGGAGGGCATTCCCATATTTTTTCATTTTCTCGTCCGCTGCCCTGGCCGCGGCCAAACCGCATTCTTTACTTGTCAGGTTTACGTATCGTTCGTATGTATGTATGTACAAACTCCTCAAACAGCTTTAATTATGTCATGTATGCTGATGACACGAACCTATTCAAGAGTAATAAAAAAATAAATGTGTTGATAAATGAGATCAATAATGATGTTCAATCAGTTATTCAATGGTTCAAAAACAACAGACTGACTCTCAACAGAGAAAAAACAAAATTCATGGTTTTTGGCCCAGTGCAGTTACTAAATTATAAAGAGCCATATAAAATCGTTATTGAAGGTGAAACGATAACAGAAACAAAATCATCAAATTTTTTGGGAATTATTCTGGATAACAAATTGACCTTTAAAAAACACATAAATTCCGTATCAGATAAACTATCAAGATCCCTGGGCGCCATCAACAGAATCAAATTCTTTCTACCAAGACGCTCTCTAAATTTATTGTACAATTCAATATGCCTTCCTCACCTTGTCTACTGTAACATCATCTGGGCATCAACTTATCCCTCGTTAACACAACCGTTGCAAATGCTCATGAAAAAAGGAATGAGAATCATCACCTGCTCAAAATACAATGCGTCAACAAACATTTTATTTCTCTCAACACGCAACTTAAACTTCAGAAATCTTCACATGTATCACTGTGCTACTTTTGTTTTCAAACATTACGCAGGACTGCTACCCAAAGTTTTTTGTGATTATTATAACTTTGTTTTGACAAATAGGCACAGAAACATAATTCGTTGCAATAAATCGAAAACAAACATTTTATTTTTTCATATTTTATGCAACGGATATGGAATAATTTGATAATTAATTTTGATTTAAATTCTGTTTTATATACAAAAGTGCAGGCAACATTTAGAAAAAAACTGAAAAATATTTTACTGAACGCTTCAGTATAATCATCTAATGTATTCATCATTCACACTCATTCATACTCTTTAACATTCTTTCACACTCATTCACATTTATTCATACATACTTGTAATCATTGACACATCAAACATACTAACTCATCTCGTCTCATGAGTGATATTATTAATTAGAAATTTCTTGTAAAGGTGGCTGTGCTCAATGAGTCACATGCGGACTCCTCACAGTCATCCTGTATCTTAATTTTATGTTTTTTTTTTTTGAGGTCAAATAAAATATATTGTATTGTATTGTATTGTATTGTATTGTATGTATGTATGTATGTATGTATGTATGTATGTATGTATGTATGTATGTATGTATGTATGTATGTATGTATGTATGTATGTATGTATGTATGTATGTATGTATGTATGTATGTATGTATGTATGTATGTATGTATGTATGTATGTATGTATGTATGTATGTATG